AATACAGTTTTTAATAATTTTGCTCAATATATATGATTTTTCTTTCATAATCTATTTATATGTTAATTTACCTTTTTATTATTAATAAAAAAATAAGATCTATTTTCAAAACTCTTTTTTATTAATAACTTTTAGAAACTTTCCTAATAACAGCAAAAACAAAATTAATTAAAATTTAGAAATTTTCCTTATAACAATTAAAACGAATTAATTAATTTTAATATACAATATATAATTAACTAAAAATAATGATGATGTGTACCAATAGAATTGAATCTTTAAATCCTATGTGGACACCATTAGAGGCATTTAGCATCAACTTTTATTAGTAATAGCCTAGTATTAGCCCCGAGCTTTGCTCATGTATGGTATTTTGTTAATTTAAAATATTAAAAAAAAAATTAGCAATCAAAAAGCTCAACAGAAAAAAGTTTTTGTCGAAATAACTTAGTCAAAGCAACAGCCTTATGTTGCCTGCATTATCGAATTACCAACGACCAAACAATTTCAGAATTTGATTGTACCTCATTTCAAGATAATGAATAAACAATAACACATGTGTGTTATTTAGACCTCTTTGTTATCCTTCAGAAGCAATTGAACCTTTCCGCTTAGAGATGTTTTCCGATTGAGCTCACCTGTCAAACTAAATCGCAATGGCTAATATATTCTCAGATACAAAATAAATGATAAATAGAAGAAATAAAATAATTAACAGGTATACTTGAAAATATATGAAAGGTTTTGATTTTGAAAGTTCTTTTAGAATTGTATTTTATTCCGTCGATTAAAATTTTAGAAGTAGCTTCCTAAAATGATAATATCAGTACGATAGAATCAGAGATCAAAAACAATAAGGGAACAAACCGTAAGGGAGAAGACAAAATTTTACCAGAAAATTTCATCTTCGATTGCTAATAGGGACTAAACAATTTTGTATATTCGTAGAGAAATTAAAAAATTTAGAGTTTTGAAAAACGATAGAATTGGTGTGAAGAGAATTTGAAAATTAAAAGTGTGGTTTTTTTTGGAAAAAGAACATTTTCCCCACTTTTTCTTTTTCGTTTCTATATTTGAAGAAATATATGTATCATTTAAATTGTAAAAACTGAGATAGGAAGAAAATTGTGGTTTTGAACTTAAGGAGATGAAATCCGAAACAAAAGGATCATGGATGGAGTAATTAATTTTGATTTCAAAAAAAAACTGAAACTGACATACAATTATTTTCATATTAACTGTCAAAATATTATTGGTGAAGATATTTGACTTAATAATATCTACGTAACTGAAAAAAGGAAATAATTTGTAGAATGGAGATCATGGCTTGTTACTGATAAATATATTTTTTGTTATAAGAAAAAAGAAAAAGAAAAAAAAATTAAAATAAATATAAAAACTACATGTGTCAAACCGAGAATTGTTAATTGACTTGTGTTTTATAAGTATAAAGATGAGAAACAAGAGCGAAGATCTACCACTATCTACGACTTAGTTACAACAGACTATATGACTTGTTCAAAATTGATCAATCGTAACCCTAATTTCAATAATTAGCTAGAACATCAATATCATGTTATAATCAATGGCGGATGTGAACATTGGTAACTAATAGTGTGTTTCAGTTGTAAAAACAAAATTAAAATTAAAGATTTAGCGTTGCCTAGATCGTGTGTATGATTAAGGCTAAGTGTACCAAATCACAATCATCAACACACCAGACTCTAAACAAAAAGACAGTTAGAGAATTACCTCTGATTCATTATTTATATCTTATTTTCTAATATTTTTATATTATCTGATAAAAACTTATATGTATGCTTTGTTGTTTTGTTGCATTTATTAAACATGATCAATAATTCTCTTCTTTTCATGTAAATTGACAGATTAAGATTAATGAAATTCAAAGTTTGCATACAAAAAAACATAGTAATCCAAAATGACCAAAACCAAATGATCATTGTTTCATATCAGCTTAACATTAATTAATATATATAGAGTTTTAAATGGATTTAAAGGATTAAGGTTGTTGACCAAAAAAAAAGATTTAAAAGATTTAGAGTTTTACGTGTGGCCGCATAAATCAATTAGATTAGTAAAAAATATTAGTAGGTTAAAAAATCAAATCAATATTAGTTTAAGAAAATAATTAAGATTTTTTTTGTGATTTATGGTAGTTACTTTTTTTTTAGTAAACTGAATAGTTTTATAATATAAATTTAAATTTGAAAATCTAGATTTTTAAAAAACGAAAATCAATAAAAAATAGATTATATTAATTTGTTAATTTCATTAAGGGTAAATAAAGTTTTTTTATATAAAAGGTAAAAAATAATCAACCATCATTACTATCAACCACAATCCAACTTGTTTCTCAATTAAATATGATCATTGTAATGTTTAGAACATATATCTGTCGCGTAGCTAATAATGATTTTACTATGTTCGGATTCAGAAGATATCTTCTCTAGCAATATATTTTCCTATTTCGTGGCGATGAAATGTTAATATTTGTGGGCGAATCCTTAAGATGAGTTAGAACAACCCCAATAGAGACACTACTAGTGTGAGTCTTATTAATTAATTATTAATATTTTATGTACTTTATGTATAAGACACTTTATAAAATTTTGTTGTTTTTAAGCATACAATGGAGACACTTATGATGGGTGTCTTAAAAACAAAATTTTTTTTTTTTTTATAATAAATTTAAGTAAAAACTTAGGTTAACAACTTTTAAAACATAATATATATTTTTAAAATATAATACATGGAAACATATCTTATTATATAAAATTGAATGCATCAAAGTTAGTAATTCATATGATTGTGACATGTGGCGAATCATTCAATTCAGATATTAACACGTATCGCGATTAAATTAAAAATAAATATAAATTTAGGAAATAACTGTTGTTAAAAAACAAAATAAGAAAATATAACAATATAATATCTAAAAGCAAAAAAAATTAAAATTAATAATAATATATTTTAATTAAGAAAAAGAAACATTTTGTAAAAAAGTAAAAAATTAATCCTAGAAAAAAAGAATATATTATTCACATCTTTATAAATGTATAAAATATATTATAACTAGGCAAATTATTTTTTTAGACTCGAATCGACGAATAAGATGAGAATCTGATAAATCGATAAGAAAAATAAAAATTGAAGAAGCAAAATAAAGGAGAAATCTAATTTTCCTTTGAAATATGTAACATATTTTATATGTTAGTAATTCACGTGATCGTGACACTTGTCAAGTTTTGCAATTAAGATTTTGACACATATCGTGATTAAATAGTTTAGACGGGTCCATATTTTTTAAATTATAAAATTAAAAAAAATTATAACTTTAACTTGAATTAATAATTTAAATTAAAAACTCGTGCAACGTTCGTGTCCATATCTAGTACATTATAGAAGTGCAATTCAGAAACTAGAATTAAAAAATATGATTTTAGGTTTTAGAAACTTTGTCCACTCATATCTTGACAATTGTCTGTCCTTAACTAAAAAAAAGATCTTATTTTAGACATTGGTCTTAAACATAACACACTCTTTACAATTTTTTTATTCACTTAGTAGGAGTTATTGGTTCTTGTATTTTGGTGGATTTATAAATCTTCTTTGGATTTGATAAATTTATTGATTTCAAAATCAGCAAAATACAAAAAAATCAAATCCACTCAAATACCAAGGTTAGACCTTGTATTTGGGTTTTTGTATTTTAGTCATAAAAATCCTTCCAAATCCATTCAAATTCAATTAAAACTCAAATCCTTATAATATTTAGATTCTAAAATGATAGAACCAATAATACTGTATTTCATTATGGATTTTAAAATCATAGAACCAATAATACTGTATTTTAATATAAATTTTAAAATACAAAAACCAACAACACTGAATTTGGTTTGGATTCTCAAATCTATTAAAATACAAAAACTAATAACACCTCCTCATATTATTAAAAACTCTCAATGACTATTGGGTTGGTCTTAGGGTTTTTGTTTTGGGCTTTGTGGCTCGAACATAATTATTGTGTTCAAGTTCTACGAGTCATATTGATCTAAAAGCTACCGAGAGCCCAAATCTAAGATACGAATATTTTTACATCACAATAATTACTGATGGAACAACTTTTTTTTTTTTTTTTGTGGGCGATGGAACAAAATAATGACTTTAATTACCTGGTTTGATAAAATAAATAAAAAGATTCTAATATTTGCACGAAAAAAGTAGAAAATTTAAGATACGCAAAATGATTTGAGATTTTCGTGCTTCCGAGAAAGTAGAAACAGGCACGATCTTTGAATATATAAACCGACTCGACGATCTAATCCAACGGCTTATATCTGTTGACGTGGCGAAATCAGAATACACCAGATGATGATACTAGAAAGCAACATACGATACGATTCGATTCTTTCGATTCTGTGTGAGAAGGAGACAAAGAACGGGAGTTAGGTGAGGTTAAGGGGACTTTGGTTATTTTGTACGTGAGCACACTGGAACTTAACCCGGACGTATTGCAGTAAACTAAACCGGATTTAATAATTTGCATTTGGTCCGGTTACCCTTTCTTCCGTTTCGTCTCAGACGACCAAAAAACAAAAAAAAAATCTATTTTCTTACGTTCTGGTTTTTGTCAAAAAGAAGAAAGCACACAACTTTTTTAAACATCGTCGGCGTCATTCGAAATCGGAGCTGTGTGGATTACTAACTATCCAATTGATTTATCAATCACCTGATGATTTGATATGCAGTATCCGATCCCTGGGTATTTGTTCGATTTCGTGAAAAATTGCTGTTTTTGTTGGATTTAATTTGACTATGATTCGAATGATCATTTCTTGTTTGATTTCATGTTGTTTTTAGATCGGCTGCTGTATGAAGACTTTATGCTGTGAAAATTCTCCGGCTTTTGTTACTAATTTCCGCGTTGTGTGATTTGAATTGAGCTGAAGCTTGTCGTTGTTGTCTGGGGGGTTTAAGAGATGGATTTGGTCGCTAGTTGCAAGGTATCGTCTTGATGTTTATGCTCGTGGAATAATAAGTTGCTAAAGATTTTAGAGCTTGGCATTGTTGATTCCATGTGATTGAGGTCCTATGTTTGTATTTGATCAATCTCAGATTCTGATTTGATGTTGTTGCAGGAAATAAATAGTGTATAGCTTTTCGAAGTGAATATTTTGATCTTAGTTTTACTTAAAGCTCAAAGTTTTTATCTGATTCATATTTGCAGGAGAAACTTGCATATTTCCGGATAAAAGAGCTCAAGGATGTGCTCAGTCAGCTGGGGCTTTCTAAGCAGGGGAAGAAGCAGGTTTAAAACTTTTCTGCTGATCTTTTGCATTAGAAATATGGTTTCGAACGCTGTAAATTATCATCTTGTAGAAGATGATGTTTGGGTGGTAGACTTTTATCATTTTTTTGGAGACAGCATTGTCATAAATTGTAACGGAGTTGCTTAGAGTGAATTTCTGCTGATGACTGTTTTCTTTTGTTTGTTTGGAAATTGGCTTGTGCAGGACCTTGTCGAGCGGATCTTGGCCATTCTTTCCGATGAGCAAGGTATATTGGGGACTTCTGTTTAGCTGTGATCAAAGAAATTTTTTTAGTGCTATCTTGATTAAGTAGTTGTCTCCATTACTTACTGTTTACTGACAGTGGCCAGGTTGTGGTCTAAAAAGGATGTCGTGGCAAGAGAAAAAGTTGCAAAGCTAGTGAATGATACATATAGGTGAGTGCTTGCTTTAGCCATGGATTTTTCTCCTCTTGACCAGTGATTAATATTTTTTTGCCACTACTGTGTTTTCCACAGGAGAATGCAAGCATCTGGTGCAAGCGACTTAGCATCAAAAGGGCAAGTTAGTTCAGATATCAGTAATGCGAGAGTTAAAGAAGAGCCTGAAAACTCCTTTAAACCAAAAATTAAAGTTCGGTGTATTTGTGGAAGCTCACTGGAGACGGAGTCAATGATACAGGTTAGTCTGTGACACAATAAATTTCTCAGCTCCTGGTTGTGTTAGCAGTAGCTCTTGGTGTTTTATGGCTCAGTAGAATCTTGGTGATATCTCTGCTGGTCTCAATTATGATTTGTAATTTTCAGTGCGAGGATCTGAGGTGTCATGTCTGGGAGCATGTTGGCTGTGTTATTATCCCGGAGAAGCCTATGGGAGGAAATTCACCGCTTCCTGATTCATTTTACTGTGAAATATGCCGACTTACCCGAGCTGACCCGTAAGACTCTCAAGAACTTTCTATTTTCGGTCTGTGAGACTAATGATTAAACATTTATTTATATATCTCCTTGATACAGACTATATCTTGCTACAGTTTTTCCTCATGTTTGATCTTTGTTCATATATGTCCAGCATTGAAGTCAGTTTTATAACTCTGTTGCAAAAGTTGAATGTTATCTGTAGGTTAACCTGGTTATGACTTATTAGTTTATTTGAGGGTGTCTTACATGGTCTTTGATGTGCAGATTTTGGCTCACAGTGGCACATCCATTGTTTCCGGTGAGACTGACTACTACAAATATCCCAACTGATGGGTAAGTGATACCAAGTTTTTCTTTTTAGGTATCGTATTTAGGTTTATGTACTTTAACCCAATCGTAAAGGTACAATCATTAAACAATTTTTAGCTTGGGTAGCTGAAGCACTTCTGCTTTCTGTCATATATGTTTTTCTGCCTAGGGGTGAAGCGTTAGAATATAAGTCTCACGCACTGCATACAATTTCTGAATGTGGTGTTGATTGCAATAGAGGGATGAGATGAACTGTAGTTACTTAGCCTTTTGAGATGGGACTTATGTTCATTCTAGTATTTAGAGAAAACGAATCATGGCTGTTTCTTAGGCAGATTCACAACGCCTGCTTAAACTTTATAATTGCTTTGTTGTTTTTCTCATCGTCTGCAAAATCTTTCAGTACAAACCCGATACAGAGTGTGGACAGAACATTTCAAATAACAAGGACAGACAAAGACTTATTGGTGAAACAGGAGTACGATGTTCAGGTTGTTGGTTTTACAAGTAGGTTAGATATGTAATGTAAAGTATATGCACATATCTGTTTTCTAATTGGCAGCGAAATGTGCTTTGTTTTCAGGCTTGGTGTATGCTATTGAATGACAAAGTTCTGTTTAGGATGCAGTGGCCTCAATATGCTGAGCTGCAGGTCAATGGTATGCAAGTGAAATTCACAGTTTAGGCTTGATATGTAAACTAATTTTGTGTTATTCTCATCTCCTTAGTAAAATGTGTTTCAAACACATAATCATACCTGTATGGTTAGACATTAAATTCTTGGAATAGATTTGCTTTCAAAATGTATCTAACTCTCTTGGTATTGTAAAAATCTATATTTTCTCTATGCTAGCTGATGTGGGTTCATGGTTAAATTATTACCATCTTATAGGTGTACCTGTTCGTGCTATTAACCGACCTGGGTCACAACTTCTTGGGGCCAATGGCCGTGATGATGGACCTGTTGTATGTATTTCATCCCTATCCGCAACATTTCTTTTTTTTGTTATATAACATTTCTTTCTTCAAAATTAAACACTTGTGTTTGTAATCTAGTATGCTTCCATTCATTTTTTTTTTTTGACAGATTACACCTTGTATTAGAGATGGAATTAACAAGATATCCTTGAGTGGATGTGACTCTCGCAGTTTTTGTTTGGGTGTAAGACTTGTGAAGCGAAAGACTCTGCAACAGGTACTTGTATTTACTGCACGAGAAACTTAAAAAAAAACTTTCGTCAGTCACAGGGAAAAAAATAGACTGAATTTATCAAAAAATGGCATTGACTTGACTGTGTGATTAGAAGGCAGAGAATCGGCTTCCAAAGGAATCTGTTTGAGAGTTCTATCTTCATCACTATTTCTAGTGTTCTTCAATGCTCAGAATATTATTTTTGTGTGCTTTTCCTTCAAATTCACTAATTATTTCATATCTAGGTGTTAAATATGATTCCAGAGGAGGCTAAAGGCGAGCCTTTTGATGATGCTCTTGCGCGTGTACGTCGATGCATTGGAGGTGGAGCTGGAAATGATAATGCCGACAGTGACAGTGACATCGAGGTCGTTGCTGATTTCTTTGGAGTTAATCTCCGGTGTCCTGTAAGTAGATTGTATCTCATTTTTAATAGGCTGTGGGAATCACATAGTTGTTGTTGATCTTATTGACTAATTTGATGGCATCTATGTGTTGTGTCATTAGATGAGCGGCTCTAGGATGAAAGTTGCTGGGAGATTTAAACCATGTGTGCACATGGGGTGTTTTGACCTTGAGGTGTTCGTGGAGCTGAATCAACGTTCTAGAAAGGCAGGTATTGTTTCATAGTCGAGATCATTAGGCTGTTCGTATTGTTTACTGAGTTTATTTATTTAAATGCAGTGGCAGTGTCCTATTTGTCTGAAGAACTACTCTCTTGAACATATGATTGTGGATCCTTATTTTAACCGGATCACATCAAAGGTACATTTTTGTAGATACTAGAATTCTTATTATTCTTATGATTAGATTCATCAAGTTGCATTCGTAAAGACCGCCTTCATGCATGCAGATGAGACATTGTGATGAGGAGTTTACTGAAATTGAAATCAAACCTGATGGTTCTTGGCGTGGGAAGTTCAAAAGTGAGAGTGAGCGCAGGGAATTAGGGCAACTCTCACAATGGCACGAACCTGACGGTAGTCTCTACCCCACGGTTAACGAGATTAAACCGAAGATGGAAATGCTAACACCGGTTAAACAAGAAGGTTGCGCAGATGGCCCAACCCCTCTGAGACTTGGAATAAGGAAGAATCGCAATGGCGTTTGGGAAGTTAGCAAGCCTAGTAATGGTGGTTTATCCTCCAGTAACAGGGAAGAGAAGCAAAATATTATACCAATGAGCAGTAGTGCCACTGGAAGTGGTAGGGATGGTGATGACCCTAGCGTAAACCAGGACGCTGTTGGAGCCTTTGATTTTGGAAACAACGGGATGGAACTTGATTCTCTATCCATGGATGTAGATTCAGGCTATAACTCTAATAAGAATCATCAACAAGAAGCAGCACCTAGTAATAATGATGTCATCGTTCTAAGTGATTCTGATGAAGAGAATGACGTTGTAATCACTGGAGGACCTGTCTACAATGAGAATCAAGCCGATGGCAGTGGGGTGAATTTTTCGTTGCACTCATATAATGAAGACCCTCACACTGTGGTTGGGGGAAACTCAGGGTTAGGTCTTTTCACCAACGATGAAGATGATTACGATATGCGTCTTTGGCAGTTGTCTTCAGAAACTCAAGGTGGTCCAGGGTTTCAACTGTTTGCATCTGATGCTGATGTCTCAGAGGGTTTAGTTGGTTTGCAGCCTGGTCCACTGAACTGTGACCCTGTTTCAGATACATCAATGCCATCTATTCCAATGGTTCCAGAGTCTGTTGGACGATCCGAAGCAGATGCAAACGGTGGATTAGTCGACAATCCTCTGGCGTTTAGTAGAGACGATCCCTCGCTTCAGATATTTCTGCCCACAAGACCAGAGACTTCAGCTCAGTCTGATTTCAGAAATCAGGCTGAGGTGTCAAATGGGATCCACAGTGATGATTGGATCTCTCTTAGGCTTGGTGATCATGGTGAGACGATAGGTGCAAACGGAGTTAACCAAAACAACCAAGGATCAGCGAGAGAAGATGATTTGGATACTTTGTCAGAGACTGGTTTGTTCGTTCCCTTGACTAAAAACTGATATTGCTTTTTTTCTTTTGTGCTTATGACTATATGTTACCGACTGTATAAACTGCTTATTTGCAGCGTCGTTGCTTATGGGGATGAATGACAATAGACAAGAGAAGGCAAGTAGACAAAGATCAGAGAGTCCGTTTTTAATTCCTCGCCAGAAGCGTTCAGTAAGACCTCGGCTGTTTCTCTCAATTGATTCAGACTCAGAATGATATGAGTTTTAGTTTTGGATGAAAAATACACCACCGTCTAGCCTCCTCGCTTGTCTGTGTTTTTCTTGGCGGGATGATTCGGTGTTTCCTTTGATTCATTACGTACGCATGAGCACAGAACAATCAAAATAGATCATCAGAGAAAGAGAGTTTACCAAGATTTGCTTGATTCCCTCATCTGTGCTTGGCATCTACAGGCTCTTATGCAAAGGTACAAAGTCAATATGAGTTCTTTGACATTCTCCAAACCTTTTTTCTTTATACTAAAAATTAACTCTATGAATCTGAAGTTTCTCAATTATTGCAGGTTGTTTTTGTTTGCAAAGGAGCAAGAAAGGTTTTTATTTAAGTTAATGAAAAATTAAAGGAGGCTTTTTGGTTGGTAAATGTATTTTGATAGTTACTTCAAAAAAAAAAAAAGCTGTTCTACGGTGGTATGGGCCAATAGGTGAAACAGTATTTGTAAATTTGAGGCTCGAAATCTTATTTTGCTTGTTTATAGAAAAAACAAATCAGCTGTTCTTCCTCTTCACTCTTTATTTGTTCTTTACATTTTGGAAACATCAAGATTATATAAGTATATGAAATAGATTAAACAGAGGGCATTGAGATTGTGTTTATGTCATTTTCTTACTCATTTTCTTACTTTGCGGTAAGAAAATAGTTGCACTGACTTGAGTATATGTGGTTGTGTAGTACTTAAATGTTACTTTATCTTGCAACTTCAACAAGTTTACTTTGCGACAGAGAAAAAGAGTTTTTTTTTTTTTTGCTGAGATATGTGTGTGTTGTAATGGAGACCAGAAAGATGGTATGGGAGAGAGATAAAAATCAAAGTGGTATACGGAACCTCGGACTTTTGTCGGACCGTGACTCATTGTTCATATCTCTCTATCTCAATCCTTATCAGTTATCATCATCACCTTCTTCTTCTTCATCTTCTATTTCATTATTATTATTTATTTTAATCTCAACTTGTGTCTCTAATAAATAAAAAAGCTGGTTTAGCACACTTACACACACGAACGCAATCTTCTACCGGAATATCGAAGATGCAGAGGTTTCTCGCCGCAAGATCGATTATCGGTTACGCCGTCAAGACTCGGAGGAGGCACTTCTCTTCTCTCTCTTCTTCCCTCCTCTTCGACGAAACTCAGCTACAGGTTCTTTCTCTCTCGCCCTCTCTCTTCTCTCCATTATCCGTGCTTGTCTTTATGTTTCCGTGTTTGTGTCTGTATATTATCTCTTGAGTCTTCAGACGATCAAGATTATGTACGATTCCATTTGGTGTAACGAAGTCTTTTTTTTCCCTCAAAAATCTTCTGACTATTATTCAGGTTTAAAAGGTCGGAACTTTGGTCTGCATCTGGTATTAAAATGGTGTTTGTTTAGTGAGATTGTGGCTGTTACGTGTACTACTTTATCAGTCTTACTCCCAAAAGATCATCATTGTGCTTGTTGTGTTCAATGTTAATACATTTAGCCTTGAAAGAGCTAAGATTTACCCAAAAACTTTCTTGAATCCATTTTCGGCTTGTGTACCTCAATTGGTGTTTTCTAGTGTAGCTTTCACTCGTTGGGGGTGTGTGCTAAGAGGTTTTCTCATGGCGATCAAACATTCAAATTGAAATCTTCTTAGAGATTTGTGTCAGTGAATTTGATGCTATGATGTGAAAAATGGAACTAGCAAGAACGACGCAATTTATGGGTTTTGCAGTGTAATATATTGATGTCATCATTTCATGAAACTTTCTTGAATCCATTTCCCTCCTGTAATTTTTGTGTTCGTTTTTTCATTGGAATTTTCTCTCTGGCTGTATTGCAATCACAGTTTAAAGAAAGTGTATCCAAGTTTGCGCAAGATGTTATCGTTCCTCATGCAGAAAGAATCGATCGAACCAATTCATTTCCAAAAGTTTGTCTGACTTTCTAGTCTTTTAACTCCATCCTCTTACGGTTTTTGCTGCTTCTATATCTCCCAAATCTATCCTTCTCATACATTGTTCAACTAGGATGTCAACTTATGGAAGCTAATGGGTGAGTTCAATCTCCATGGAATCACTGCACCAGGTGAATCTCTATCCTAGCAGAGATCATATGCTTCTGCTATTAGCATAAACATGTCTTTTTTTTTTATCAACTATGTATATATAAGGGAGAGCCTTAACACTCATGATCCTCTGGTTTTGCCTGCAGAGGAATATGGAGGTCTAGGTCTTGGTTACTTGTATCATTGTATAGCAATGGAGGAAATCAGTCGGGCCTCAGGTTCAGTTGCTTTATCTTACGGTGCCCATTCTAACCTTTGCATCAATCAATTGGTAAAGACAGCTCTCATAAAACTACTTTGCAATATCTGAGTTTGTTTGTTAAGCCAAGAAAGAAGACTTATTACTATTTTTTACAGGTGAGGAACGGAAATACAGCACAGAAGCAGAAATATTTGCCAAAGGTACGGTTTCATCTGAGCTTATAGGTCACTGCTATGCTAATGGGTTATAAACAAATAACAACTTCTGTAGAAATCTCACCTATTGAATAGCTTAGTTTACATCACATGATGAATGTTGCATGTTTCTCTTGACATTTTCTTTTGAAGCTAACTAATGATTTGTTGTTATGAAGCTTATCAGTGGAGAGCATGTTGGTGCTCTTGCAATGAGTGAACCCAATGGTAAGATCATATCTTTTGGATAAAAAGAGAGAGAGTGTGAGAGCAAGACACACACACACACATATGCATATAGTGAAGGCTTTATTCTGATCTTAGTTTTATGATCTTTATGCAGCTGGTTCCGATGTTGTGGGCATGAAATGCAAGGCTGATAAGGTAGATGGTGGTTATATTATAAATGGCAACAAGATGTGGTGCACTAATGGCCCTTCTGCTGAAACGCTGGTAATTCAATTTAGCTTATACTGTGTTAACTTTTGAGGCATACACACTTTTTGTTATCTAATTTGACATTTTTCTACCATTTTCCGATCAGGTTGTTTATGCCAAAACTGATACAAAAGCAGGTTCGAAAGGAATCACAGCTTTCGTTATAGAGAAGGGAATGGACGGGTATGTGTTTTCTCAATCTTTTGTTTAACAAAGCTGAAACTGACCTTCTTTGATCTTTAGTTCAGAGATAGTTCTTCTTTATATCTGTTTCTGATTGTGGTGCTTTGCAGATTCAGTACTGCTCAGAAACTGGACAAGCTGGGAATGCGGGGAAGTGACACGTAATCCCCTTTTTCCTCGGGATAAAGATTTCTTTTGAACTCAAATTCCGTATTCATTGCCTCTTTTCCTCTGACTTGTGTTTCTTCTTGAGCAGGTGTGAGCTTGTTTTTGAGGATTGCTTTGTTCCAGAAGAAAACATTCTTGGCAATGAAGGAAAAGGTTTTGACTGCTGCAGCTTCATCTTTTCAAATTTGATTCTCTTACGTTGATGGATAAGTTGCATATCATTGTCTATTTACATAATCAAAGAAAAAACACATGACTACATAGATGCTTTGTACGTTTCTTGAGTTAACGGATACAAAGGCCTCTCTCTCTCTCTACTTGTCTGATGGATATAGGGTTTTTGTACGTGCAGGAGTGTATGTTCTAATGTCGGGTCTGGATTTGGAGAGACTTGTTTTAGCAGCTGGCCCCTTAGGGATCATGCAGGCATGCCTCGACATCGTACTTCCCTATATTCGACAGAGAGAACAGTTTGGTCGTCCAGTTGGAGAATTCCAGTTTATACAGGTTAATAGTCTTGATCATCCTCCACATAAACTTTCTCCAATATCTCAGCTTCAATCGTATGCTGATTCTTGAGGAAAATGTGGTTTGATAAATTTCAGGGTAAAGTTGCTGATATGTACACTGCATTACAGTCTTCAAGGTAGACAAAACTTCTCTCTCAACTCTAGAATTCATTTTGTTCATACAGCTGAAAGTTAGCTTAAAGAAAAAGATGTTGCTTTGGCATCTCAGGTCATACGTCTACTCTGTTGCTAGAGAGTGTGACAATGGCAAAGTTGACCCAAAGGTATAGTTTGATATTTTCTTCTCGTTTTATATTATGAATAGATTCCGAATCCTCAGTGACCTAATATAGCCTCTCCTTGTGTATTATATTCGTCTAGGATTGTGCCGGAACTATTCTCTGTGCAGCCGAAAGAGCAACACAAGTTGCTTTACAGGTCAAACACCCTTGCTCTTCTTGCTTCTCTTTAATACTATCATTGAGTCTTCTTGAACATTGAGTCTTAAATTCATCAGCTTCAAGAGATTTTGGTTTGATGTTGCAGGCAATACAGTGTTTAGGAGGAAATGGATACATAAACGAATATGCAACAGGACGCCTTCTGAGAGATGCAAAGCTATATGAAATAGGTGCTGGGACAAGTGAGATCAGAAGGATGGTCATTGGTCGTGAGCTTTTCAAAGAACAGTAGAGAAGATAATAACTAAGTCATCTTTTTCTGCTCTGCTAAAGATGGTGACGATGTGGCATTGTGATTCTGTAGAAGTACATATATAATTTACAATGTCCTCAGTAACAAAATAAGAAAGATGGCTTCAAAGCAGTTCTTTAACGGTTCAGAACTTAATAATATAAACAAATATTTGACTCGTCTAATTAAATGTTTGGAAATATGGTAAATCTGAAAACTCTTTCGTCGGTTTTTTATGTTTGTAATATGTTTGATTTTTCTTCTTTCTCCTTTCTTGTGATGATGGACTCGTTGAAAAGTTCAACGTAATTGGAATAGTGTAGTTAATACATTGCTTTTTGATTACATAATAACTAATAAGAGGTACCTAGTACATGATTTGGTTTCCTCTTAATCAATGGACTTGTTTTCAAATTATTGACGGAGTTGATTTGATCCCGGGAAGTATTATTATTGAGGAAACTACAAGCGAGAGACTAGTCAACACCAAATTTTAAAATGTTTGAAAATTAAATGTTATAGTAATAAATGTAGTTTGATCCAAATAAATATAACTAAGGTAAATAAAAAAAATTAATACTACAGTAAAACCTCTACAAATTAATAATATTGGGACTTTCAGAATTTATTAATTTATAGAGTTATTAATAATTATTAATTTATCAATAAATTAATATTTTACTCTCTTCGTTTTTTTAAGTTTGATGTTTTAGCTTTTTTCTTTATTTTTAAAAGATTGATGTTTTAGATTTTAAATAATGTATTTAGTTTTTCAAAAATTTGTTAACCAATAAAGAAAAAAGAAATAGTATTAATATATTATTAAAAAATTAAAAAATAGCTAAAAAGTAAAATAACAAATAATTATTAAAATGTGTTTTAATATGTGTGAAAATGTAAAACATCAAACTTAAAAAAACGGAGGGAGTATTAATTTATAGAGATATTTTTCGATTCAAATTGTTAATGTTCATCGAAAAACTCAAAACAATTTTTTTAACAATGTAAAATTCATTCAGAAAATATCATAATAATAAATTTAAAACATAAATCAAACAAACCTTATAAACTTGAAACAACAATACTATCATATTTTATTATATTATATTATTTACATATGCCTAAATATATAATTATTAATTTATATTATTATTGGGACAATATTTTTATATAGAATTTTCAAAAAAATATTATTTTATTATCTTATCGAATTTTATTAATTTTTATACTAGTCCAACTTAGGACCAGTAAAAACTATTAATTTATGGTGATTATTAATTTATCGAGTATTAATTTATAGAAGTTGTATTGTAGATGGAACTTAGCTTCGTATAAATTTGGTGAAGACCGTTGACTAACTCTTTAATTTTCTTGTTTTCAGACACAAACTGCAAAAGATAAGTTCCTTTTTGTGTAAGAGAACTTGCTTTTGCTCCAAGCCTCCAAAGTCCAAACCGATTAAAACCCTCATATAGAGACAGCAAATACGAAAACCTAATTTCCATCTACACACATCTCAAATCCAAATCTCTCGAATTTTTAGTTGCTTCCATGGGTGAGAAGGATTCAGAGACAGCGCCTATCTGGGGAAAAAACATAAGAGAGAGAGAGATCAACATACACTCAATGGATTTAGAATCGTCTTCTCTATCTGGACAGAATCGATCACAGAATCAGAGTCGAGGTTCTTATGAAGAACGAGGAAGAGGATTTTTAAGGAGTTTCGGAGTTGGCTCATACCGTGTTTCGTGGTCGCCAACGTTGTCTTGTTCGTGATCACTATGTATGTCAACAATTGTCCGAAGAAATCTGGAGATTGTTTTGTCGGTTTCTTAGGTCGGTTCTCGTTTCAGAACACGAGGGAGAATCCTCTTCTATTTTTATGGTTCCTCTTTGCTCTGTATGTCTTTCAATAAAAAAACTTATTTTGACCGAATCAATCCAAATTCTTTAGGACTTTTAAGCAAAAAAAATTTAAATATTTATCAAGATTAAACTGCCTAATATTTTTCTAAATTTTGTATATATTGTTAATATTATAAAATTATTTTTATTATATAAATGAGTATCATATTTATTTTGTTATTAGCTTAAGTTATGTATTTATATGTTTTAAATCTGAATAAACATTGTATATCTTTAATTTTTTATTTTTCAGAATTATAATTTGCTATCAAATTTGTTTAGCTAACTAACAATAAATGTATATGTAAAAATAAAAGCAATATATTTTTAAGTACTTTCATGCTAATAACAAAAATAATTTATTTTCTCTCCTAAATTGCCACTTGTTATCATTTTTTATATTAATTAATATGATTATTTTGAATTACAAAATTTATTTATTTATCAAATATTTGTTATAAACATATTATTTTTGAATTACAAATTTTTTTAAAAAATTATGTTTGAACTGATGAAATATGGATTTAGTCGAAATTAAATAATTAAATTTTGATTACTGTAAACATATTATAACTTAGCATAATTTCCCATGAGATTTGATTTTCTTACAAAAACTTAAGAAATCACATTTTCCGTCAAAACATACTTCATTTTCCCATGAAAATTAAAAAATCGCATATTCCGTAAAAACTTAAAATTTTATTTTCTCACTAAAACAAAAAAATTGTACTTTCCCACAAAAACCAAAAAATCACATTTTTTTGCGAAAACCTGTATTTTCCCACCAAAACCGAGAAATCACATTTTTCACTAAAACAAAAAAATTCATCTTCGTGCAAAACCCGAAAAATCGTATTTTTCCGTCAAAACCGAAAAAATTATTTTCTTGCGAAAACCAAGAAATCATCTATTCCGCCAAAACCAAAAAATTATGTTCTCGTCAAACCAAGAATCACACTTTCCTACCAAAATTGATACACTACAATTTCCCACGAAAACCAAAAATTGCATTATCTCTCGACAAATTGCGTTTTTCCGCGAAAACTAAGAAATGGTAGTTTCCCGTAAGAACAAAAAAAATCACATTTTTCGTCAAAAACTGGAAATTTGCATTCCCATTAAAACCGAGAAATTGTTTATTTATGCCAAAACCGATAAATTTTGTTTTCTCATCAAATTGAGAAATTGCATTTTCAGCTAAAATCTTGAAATTACAATTTCCCGCAAAAACTAAGAAATCATATTTTCTGTAAAAACCAAGAAATTACATTATTCGTCAAAAGCCAAAAATTTACATTCAAAAAACATTCATCCTCATGCAAAACCCAATAAATCGTATTTTCTATCAAAAGCAAAAAAATTATTTTCCTGCAAAAACCGAGAAATTATCTATTCTAGCCAAAAAAATCATTTTCTCGTCAAACCAAGAATCACACTTCCCTTCCAAAACCAATACACTACAATTTCCCGCAAAAACCAAAAATTACATTATTTCTTGAAAGATTGTGTTTTTCCACAAAAACTAAGAAATAGCAATTTTCCGCGAAAACAAAAAAATTGCATTATTCGTCAAAAACTGAAAATTTACATTTTCTATCAAAACCAGGAAATTACTTATTTCCGCCAAAACCGAGAAATTTTGTTTTCCCATCAAATCGAAAAATTGTATTTTCTGCCAAAACCGTCAAATTACAATTTGCTGCAAAAACTATGAAATCACATTTTCCCACTAAAACCAAAAAACGCTTTATCCATCAAAAGCCGAAAATTTGCATTTCCTATCAAAACCAAGAAATCACATTTTCTCGTCAAAATTGAAAAGTTACATTTTCCATCAAAACCAATATCTGTTTCTAGTAAAAAAAAATTGTTTTCTCACCAAAATAAAAAATCCATATTTTCCCGCTAAACCCGAGAATTCATTTTTTCAGATATAACCAAGAATTTGTTTTTTCTACCAAAACTGAAAATCATATTTTCTTACAAAAATCAAAAAATCCCATATTCTTACCAAAACTGAATTCCCGCCAAAGCCAAAAAAATTGTTTTCTCATCGAACCGAGAAATCATGTTAACTGAAAAATGCAGTTTTCCGCCAAAATTGTGAAATTGTATTTTCCCGCAAATTCTCTCTCTTTCTCCTCTTCTCTCTCCTTTTCCCTCTTCTCCTCATCAAAATTAAGTTAGCGAATAAAATCGAAATTGGGTTGGGCTATTTAATGTGTTTTGAAAACAGCATTAGTATGTGGGAAGGCTATCTAATGTGGGCTATCTAATGTGTGGATCTTGGATGATTTTTTTTAATGAGTTGTATTAATGAAATATTTTCATTGGTGAATTAATTTGCTGAAGTGTCATTCTAAAAAAGCTTCAAAATACTGATGTGTCTTCACCTGGAGAGACTTATGTGTTTTTGTTGTATTGATTTCAACGAAGCTCTGAAATTTCTAGTAAATTATGCTCTACTATGGTGATAATTACCATTTATTCACATTTTGACGTTTTGAAAACATCATTTCTCTATTTTTTTTTTTATTATTATTTACACTATAGCTAGAAAATAAACGTGATTAATAAGTAAAACTAATTATTTGATGAAAATTTTATGAAATTCAATGTTACAATATCATTTTTTCAGTTATTATGATATATATGTGCAGAGACGACTCTGAGATTTAGAAAAATGGTAAATGCCGCAATCTAAAGAAAAAATGCTGTTTTGTTAATTTTTTTTTTAAATAGACTGTTTTTCTTTACAAATTTTTTTCTGTAAAAATAAAGTCTGCAAGCTCATGCTTAGTCAGCTTGAACTCAAGACCGACTCTACATACCAATCAGATTCGATAATTTTATTGCATTTTAGTGTGAGTCAACGATGTAGAATCATTTGGAGTAAAGTAGGAGTATAAGTATAGAGAAAGTGTGTTCCATTCGTTTTCTTTTAAAATTCAGAATCATCTCAATTTCGAAATTTTGAGAATGATTTTCGTTAGATTTTACATGCAAACAGATGACAAACAATGGGTGGATTAGATGTAAGAAAAGTGCTAAAAGGAGGTGAAGCATGGCGTCTACTTTCTTGCAACTGGTTACATGGAGGAGTTGTTCATTTACTAATACTAGTGAACATGTTGACTCCTTTATTCATTGGTATACGTATGGAACGTGAATTCGGTTTAAATAAGCACTCTCTGCCTTCCCTAAGACTGATTTGTGTGTTATGTTATTTTGTAAAGACCATCTTTAGTAAAAACATTTTGTTTCCTTTTTTTTTTCTTCTTGTCAGTACGAATTGGATTGCTTTATTTGATATCGGGCTTTGGAGGAAGTATATTATCAGCTCTTTTCCTCGGCTCAAACATCTCTGTTGGAGCATCTGGTGCAGTGTTTGGTTTACTTGGAGGAATGTTCTCTGAGATCTTTATCAACTGGACAATCTATTCTAACAAGGTACTACCGAATATTTTCAAAAACCATATCTTGAAGATTGGAAATTTAAAAAATTTGTGATGTTTGTTAATGCTTTTGTTTAGGTTGTGACGACACTTTTATTGATTGTGGCGGTAAACTTGGGACTCGGTTGCTCCCTGGAGTTGATATCTTTGCTCATATTGGAGGTTTTGCTACTGGTTTTCTACTCGGATGGATCAACCAAAGAAACGCTCCTGGACCTAAACCGCACAAGTACAAGATGTATCATGCCGTACTGTGGAACATAGCCTTGGGTAAATGAAAATGCCGAGATTTGTTCTAATGAAAACCTTGTAATTAGGGAGTTGTAAGATGTAAAAACTCAAGTTCGAGCTAAGAAAGAACTAGGGTTTTGAAGGTTTTAAAGAGATCTTTTATTAGAAGAAGCCGGAGCTTGATTGAATACAACGGCGTTTAGGTCGTCGGAATAAGAACGCCGACCTAAAACTCTTAAGAAAAATTAACCAAAAAGCTAGAACAATCTGATTGCTTAGTTTGCTCTAGGTCTTGATTAATGATTTTTCGGATCGATTGAGAAGTCGAAGACTTCCTATATTTATACCCGATCAGGTCGGTCTTCATCCTATTCGGAATAGGAAACTCTTGTCGGCAAGGAGTTTCCTTTTTCGCCGGGTCGTCTGATAAATGGAAGCTTTCCTTTTATGTTGCCGACCTGGGATTTGTTTGATGGGCCGACTAGAATTCATATCGGGCTTGTTAGAGACGGTACGAATCTCATCTCTAACAGTAAGTTCCCCCCCAGTTCGACAAGTGAGGATGCATTGTCGAATTTAGAGAAATGTTGCTCAATGTGAATTCTAGTCGGCTGCAAAAGAGTTAGAAATATAATGAAATTGTTACCTGGACTTCTGATCGGCACGGTGATGAGGGCCAGATTGTGGTTTTAGGCGCGAAAAATTCCCGCCCAAAAATGATGTAGGATAGGCCTAGGCCTACGCATGCAGAACTAGGGTTGACACGTGTCAAACCCTAGCAGGAGAAGATGAAGAGGCCGATTTATATAAAAAGAGTTAGAAATGTGAAGAATCGCCGAGCTCATGATGACTCTCGATAACCGTCCAGGCCTCCTTATAAATAAGAAGGACTCGGCTTCTGTTTCTTCACTTCTGCATCTCTAGCGAAACTCTGTCAAAATCAGGTTTGCTCTTCTCTCTCTTCTTTGTTCTTCATTTATTTTAGTTAAGAATCTTTCCGATCAGACCTCCGCCGCGTTTCGTTCAGAGCGCCGCCTTTGATTTCTCCAATTAAGTGGAAAACCGTCACAATATCAGATATGAGCAAGTGTGTGAAGATCTGCGAGAGCCGACCAGAATCGAGGGTGACTGTATCGGCTAAGGAGAAAGCTGATGAGATCGGCGTTTCTTTAGATGAATTTCTTCAGATGGAGAGAGACGACCAGGTCGCAAGGAACAGATCGAAAGGAAAGCGGATTGTCGTTGAAGAACGGGATTCAGATCGGTCTTCTGATGCAAGTGAGTTGTCCGTGTTAGATCGGGCTTTTCAGGAACGAGTCAGGGAGGAGAACCAAAGGGCAGCAGCCGAGCGCTTTCACGCCGATCAGGTCGGGGCTATTTCAGGGAGCGGAGAGGCGTCGACTAGGGAGCCATTCTTGATTCCGCAACTAAGGGATGAGGAAGACGTACGAGGTGGATCAAACGAGATGGATATCTCGGATGAGCTGAACACTCTTATCGTCGAAGATGAGGTGAATCAGTTTGGCATCATCGATCTGAATCCTCCAGTCAGGAAAGTTAAACGGAAGAAAGGGGAGCCGGTTGTGAGGCCGATCTGCGACAATCCCCTGGGAATAATGCCGACCAAATCGACGATGGAATCGTTGGTTTCTCTGAAAGAGGAGTGCGACATCGGCCCTGAAGTAGTGTTTATGGTGCCAAGCCCATCTGAGCGACCTTGGAATGCACCACCAGGGTGGTTCTGCGTCTACGAGTGTTTCTTCAGAGAGTTCCATCTGTGGTTCCCACTCCCGAGACTCCTGCTTGAATTCGCCGACCACAAAGAGATGCCGATCTCTCAGTTCTCTCATTCTACCATCCGCCTGATAGTGAGTATGCTGGTGATGTCGATCAAGCATGGGATTCCGCTGAGCCGTGCTGCGTTCGACGCGATGACTAACACCAGAAGGACCAAAGAGAAGTTGCGGAATAGGGGTTCGTACTACACCAGTATGAAGAGCAAGTTCAATATAGTCACTGGTGGCCATAAGACGAAGATCAACGACTGGAGGGACAGATACTTCTTTGTTTTGATCAATGAGTCCTCCATCGCTGATAGGGATGTGCCGATACGAACGAAATGGATGGAGGTCATGGGTAGAAAATCTACCCGACCTGATATATAAGAGTCGTGAATCACTTCTTATCGTCGACTGATTTCCTTCATTTTTTTTTACAGGAAACAGACATCTCCCCATCGTCGACGATCCAGTGGATATTTACAACATCGCCGAACGATTCTCGAGGATTGCTGCGATAACGTGGCCTGAGATCACCGAAGAAAGGATTGTCAAGACCAGAGGTTAGTTGAATTTGCCAGAAGCATGTTCGTTTCTTGACGATCCCCCTTTTAATATAATTTTCTTTGATTAGCTGCGCTTGGACGATACTCCCGCCGTCAAGAAAAAATGAAGTCAGTTGCTTTCAAGGATTTATCAGCCGATCTTGAGTCTATCCTCGGATCTCCATTTGCCAAAGGAACCGATAATGCCTCCCCGGTTGTTCCTTCTTTTGAGGGCGATATACCCCAAGCTAAGATAGCGAACGACCAGAGTACTGGGCAAGATGCAGCCAAGGCCAAGAAAACGGCCGATAAGAGGGCGGCCAGAAAAGCCGAAAAGGCTAAGAAGAAAGCCGAAGAGGTGGAAGGAGCCGATGATGCTCAATTCCTTGAAGACGACAGTCTGTTGCTATTGAAGAAGCGGGCTTCGGAAGGATCTCCTGAAGAGCCGCGATCGTCGAAGAGGTCCCGGGCTGAAAGGAAATTACGCCCGTTTGGGTTCTCCTATGAGTATCGCGGTGAAAGCCCGATAGTGCACGACTCTGTATCGTGCCTTGATTACTTCCTCAAATTGAGGGACCATCCATCGGGCACTCCAACAGATCCGCGTGGCTGTATCCGCGGTGAGGAAATAGCACGCTTCGCGCATGATCAGGCCAAGGTAAACAAACACTATGCCCTTGTTTGTGTATTCTTCGAGTTAGTGAATTCGAATATTAACGTTCTATTGTGCAGGCACTGAGCACGGTATTAACTGTGATGGGAGAATATGATCGAAACGCGAAGAAATGTCTTGCTGAAGAAGCCGAAAGAGTGAGACTCCAGGGAGATCTCGAAACTGAGCAGAAAAAAACTGCAGAATTGGAAGTTGCGCTTTGCAGCTCTACTGAGGAGCTGGAGAAGCTTCGAGCCAGTGATGCGGAGAAGAGCAAACTGCTCAATCGAATGGCGAAGAAGATTCAGAAAGAAAGGGCCGATTCTCAGAAGAAGCTGGAGGCCGAACTGAAAGCTGCGGCTGAAGAGAAACTTGCCTTCGGGCAAGAAGTGGCGAGGCGCGCGACGATTACGGTGAACGACCATTATGCGAGCTTGGTGGCAAAGGTAAAGGAGTCACTCGCGCGGAAGGCGAAAGCCCACGAGTTGATTTCGACGGCTGCTCAGTGGGTCGGAGCTAAGAGGGCGCTTGAGATTCTCCGTAGGCAAGGTTACAGCTTTCCGGCTTTGGTGGAGGAGAATATTGAAAATCTCCTTGTCGAAAGTAAAGCACAACTGGAGGCCTTTGAAGAAGTCAGCTTCACGTCAGATGAACTCCAGGTTCAAGAAGCGGAAGTATTTCTTGAAGTTTCCAGTGAGGCTCAGCTCGATGCGTCTAAGGCCCCGGAAGAGGCCGACCAGGGAAAAGAGCTGGTAGTTCATCAAGACGATGCCGATCATGTTGGCAGTCAAGTGACCGATAAGGAGAAAATTCAAGAGGAAGCCGAAGACTAGCCCTTTTGAACATTCTTGTAATTGATTAATAATAATTTTTTTTTGTACTATGTAATCATATGCCGTTATGGCTTTGTTTTTTAAATGAAAGTTTGAGAAACTTAGCATTTTATGATTTCGAAATCTGAACACAACAGCGAAGTGATATCGGCTTAAGTTTGTGTGATTTCAATTTCTAAGTACCAAAAGAACACACGAATTAGGTAGGCATGAATTCGATACTTAGAAAATTTCTTAAGTCGAATACGAACTGCGATCAGGTCGGCTTACTTATTCCGTATGACTTAAGAATTGCAGTGCGGGTTCTGGCTTGAATAATGAAGTGTGAATACGAACGTGCGGGAGGACCGGCTTACTATTGTTCGTACCACTTCTCTTCTAAGTGTGAATACACGATGTGCGATTCAGGTCGGCGTTGATTCATCGGTACCACTTAGAATTATCCGAGTCGAATGCGGATGCAAGACTGACTTGGCTGATAACAACGCATGGCTCGGATAGAAGAAAGCAGGTAGAATGCAAGGCGGACTTGGCTTTAAGTTGCCGAGCTAAAGTGGATCAGACTTTAGTTTTAGGCGGATCGAGCATCTGGCCAGGATGCCGATATGAAAATGAACATGGAATTCTTAGAAAAAGATTTTATTGAATTAACTTACAAAAACGAAGACGATTTGAAGATTTAAAAGAAAAATTGAGTCCCGCCCTGTTTTGGGAGGGGGAGCAGTTGCACCATCCGAAGATAGGTTGCCTACGTACCCCTTTCGGGGATCAAACCGCTTCGTAGTTCATAGGGACTATTCCCCCTTTTTTTTTTTTTTACGATGCTGACCTCGAGGAGGTGCCGATCTAACTGTAGTATCTTTTGAGGTTGAGTGAGTTCCAAGCTCGTGGAATCAACTCGCCATCTAAGGCTTCGAGTCGGTAAACTCCTGGTTTCACTACGTTAGTGATGATGTAAGGACCTTCCCAGTTTGCGCCGAGCTTTCCTGCATTCTCTTCTTTTGTGTTCTCGTAGACTTTTTGAAGGACCAGGTCGCCTTTATCGAAATGTCGATTGTGTACTTTTTTATTGTAGTACCGAGCCGCTTGGTTCTGGTAGTTCTGCATTCTCAGCAAGGCCTGGTTGCGTGTTTCTTCTATAGTGTCGATGTTATCGACTAGCATCGTTGCGTTTACTCCGGGAATACTCGGGAGTACTCTGCGTCGTAGACTGCCGACGTTGATT